GATATATAAAATATAAATATAAATATAAATATGCATATATATAACATTACATAAGTTGACAATTATAATTATAAATATATAGATGATGAATATTGCCATTGAGATAAGCAAATATATTTTAATATACCATTGCACCCACTATTTGCTACTCATAGTATATTTTTACAAACCTAAATCAGGTGAATGATATATATTAGAAATATTTAAAAAATTTTTTTAATAAAACAAAATCTTTAATTAGTACAAATTCCTGGAAATTTATTATTTGATTTATAATAAACTAGCAACTGTTATTATGTTTAATTTATTCAAGTTTAATAAGTTTAATACAAATATTTAAACATATTTATAAACATATATTTATTTATGCATAATGGGAATTATGCTATGAGCTCCATAATAACAAATTCAAATCAGCAAAATTTTTTCTTAAACAATTATACTTTCTTTTTGAGATGACTGACTATACCATTTTGGTTCATTTTTATTTTAATCTTATATATGCCAAAATATATTATATCTTTGATACCACTTAAAAAAATACAAAGACTTCTGTTAAGATAATCATTACTATATAAAATTACTCAAGTTAAAATTTCTTGCCCAACACTGCACTAATTTGTCATATTACTACCTGGTGTAAGGTAAACATTTTTAAATTTTTTCTTTTTATAATAATGATAACTCAAAAATGCCACTGCACCTATTAAAATAATGGCACCTAGAGTAGCACCTACACTTATACCTATTAAACGTGCATCATATTGTGAAGCTTGTGAAGTTTCTGAAGCCTGTGAAGTTTCTGAAGCTTGTGAAGTTTCTGAAGCTTGTGAAGTTCCTCCTGTTGTTGCATTTGGTAGATTAGGACTGTTTGTGGTAGTAGAAGAGTTGGATTGTTGGTCAAATCTTGTTACCCAAGTATATGTATGGGTATCAAATAAATAGATTTCACTAGATGATTGTGTGAACAAACTTAATGACCCTAAAAAATAATAAATTATAAATTGAATTTTCACATATTTTTAAAAAAATCATGTTATATATATAATTACCAAAGGCCACTATCATGTAATTTCCAACCAAATTAGCAGAATGTCTCATTAGTGGTGGAGGTGAATTGGGTGGAATTTTAGGAATTGACCAAGAATATGAACTACTGTTTGTATCTAACAAGACCATAGCTGGCCTTGACATTGCATCACTCATGTTAGCACCTCCGTATATTATAACTTTACCATCTGGAGCTTTTTTATAACATTTTAAAAATTATTTATTTATTAATAAATCACACAATTTTAAAAATGAAGTTTAATTTACCTAAAACAGCTGTGTGCCAAGAACGTGCATCAATGATATCCCCAACTACAGTCTAAAAGAAAAAAACTAGTAACGAAAATTTTAATTTATTAAAAGAAAATCAAAGTTTATATATACATACAGTTGTTGACCATTTTAAA